GAATTTTACATGAAAATAATGAAATTGACAAAGACAGTCAGGTGTTGTGGGTTATGTTCAATCAATATCTTGATTTCATCATTATTAATAGAAGAACTTTAGTGCTGAAATCAGAAGCTCCAAAATACTTTCGTAAAGTTCCTTCAGCTAAATCAACTTCATCATGATCAGAATATTTCTTAGTTGTTGCTTTAGTAGCATTTCTAGTAATAGAAAAGTATGAAAGTTTAAAATTAACTTTATTTTCTTTCATTCCTAAGTTAAGATATAGTTCAATTGTTTTTAACTATTCTGATATATTTAAGCATTGCACTCAACGAAAATCACAACACCGAACAACACAAAACTTATGTATTTGTTAAAAAATGTCCAATTTTCTCATTTTATAATGACAACATTAAAACTCAATTACTTAAAAGAAAATAGTACAAAGCAAAAACATTTATAAGTAAATAATGTTACAAAATTTTAAAAACATTTTTTTATTGAAAGAAATGCACTTTTTTATAATAATTTCTATACAACTTAAATAATTCTTAGAACAAGAAAATATTATGCATGCAGACTTAATTACTGAAAGTAAAGATTATGTTTAATATAATAATACTTTTATTTTTATTAAATATATGTATATACAAAATAAATATAGGTGAATACTAAGCAAATTATTTATCTTAATTTGTTCATTCTTCTAATCCATTGAAGATCCTGCTTGTACCTGATCAAATTTAATTGGTATTTATGAAAACTCATCAGATCACCGAGCACTTCGATATTTTTAAAGTACATGACACCTTCCTACAGGTTATGTATTGCAATTTTTTCGCATTAAGAACACACACATTTATTCTCTCCATCTTTGTACGTTTTATTGCACTGGGCAATCAACTATAAAAAAATAATAAAAATTAAAGATTACTTATGGTTAAAGCCGTTTCCAAGTTATAACTATCTTCAGCTGGAGCTGGCAAATTCAGCGGTTAACTGATGTCTTTTATTAACTTAGTGTATAGGTCGAAGATAAAAGGAATAATTACTGAGTGCATATTGCAATAATTGATAGAAATTTAAAAAAGTTTAAAGAAATTATTGTGTAAAACGAGGTATATGTGTATATTTTTCACTGATTATTGTCTGTTTCTATTAAGAACTTAGGAATTAAAGATGTAGGAAGTAAATATTTTGTTTAATGCAAAAAAAATGTTTATTCTCATTTTTTTCAGTTTTTCGACCGTCAAAATTATATAACTATATTAACTGAATAAAGATTTCATTAGATCATTAGCCAATACATGTAGATGGCCATGAACAAGGTTGTAATCTTGAAAATTGTGAAAAATGTCAAGTGCCTCTTTAAAAATTGTTAAAAAAAACAATTTTCAGTATTGTTAATTTCTTTCTATTTTTAAGCATTACTTTTATGTATTAGACTTAATATGATGGCGATTGTCACAACTTCATAGTTTATACACCTATGAATTAAATCAGCTCAAACTTAATGGAAGAGTTGTGTATACAGATACAACTACTGACAGTAAATCTTAAGTTTAATATTATAATAATTTTATTTTTATTAAATATATATATATATACAAAACAAATATCAGTGAATGTAAAGCAAATTATTTATCTTTATATGTTCATGCTTCTAATGTCTCGAAGGTCCTGCTTGCATGTGAGCAAATTTATTTGGTATTCTTGAAAACACATCCAATCATTGGACACTTCGATTTCTTTTAAGTATATGATATCGTTCTTCAGAGCCGACACATCTTCGTAAAACCTACTCAAATCAATTTGCAGTTTCTGTTCCTCCTCTGTCAATTCATCTATCCTCTCAGTGTCCTTGACATCGTCCAAATCGAAATTCCTTTTATTCAACACATCCTTCAATGAATTCCTTAATACATCCTGTACCTCCTGACTCGATAATTTCTGTTTGAAAATTTTTTCACATATTTCATTATCCCCGACCTTAGTTAAAGTCATAAATGTATCACTTTTTCCCTCCAAATATTGTTTAGCTTCCTTTATATAAGTTAAAGATTTCGATTTGCTTTTCAGTTTTTTATCCAAAAAATCACTTAAACGATCAAAGTCTAGATCAAGCGTGTTGTATTGCTCATTATTTTCATATATTAATGCCATTAGTTCCATTAATATATTTTGCTTCTTTACGATCACATTCATTTCTAACGGATCGTCTTGGTGTTCAATTACACTTTCGATTGTTTTCTGTATCATCGATATCATTATTTCTATATCTTTTCTTAACTCTGGCAACCTATTTGCTAAACCGTTTCGAGCTTTAGAATGGAGATGAATAAATCTCATTGTAGTTTCGCAACTACATTTGAAAGAATTATAGTTACTAATCCTACAAAGAATTCCTTTCAGATTCTTCTGTATATCTTTTAAATAGTCAACCATATTATTCTCTCCATATTCGACCGCCTTAATGCATCGGGCAATCACTATAAAAAGTAATAATAAATAATAATAAATAAATAAATTGTAACAATAAAAAATAAATAGATTACTTACAGTTAGCGCAGTTTCATAGTTGTAATTCTCTGCAGTTGGACGTTTCCAAGTCAGTGAGTTGGCAGCTTAAGTTTGTTATGCGATGTATGTAGGAGATAGGCGCGGGGAATAATTTCTGAGAACATTTTTTAAATTATTAGAAAGCAAGTGAAATGTGTCCAAAGAAATGTGATGTTTCCAGCAGTAAGTCGCTTTTGAGTATGCTAGTCTGCGAGGATGCATCTAATATATACTGATTTCCATTTACCCCCACTAAGCAGATTTTCATGAGAATTGGTTTCAATTTGTATTACCCTTCGTTTTATTGTACCAACATGGGTCATCTACCTGGTGAAGCTTTAACTAATAACGTTTCTAAGTAAAATTATGGAAGTTTTTATTTTCGAACAAAATGTATACATTTATTAATATTGTTTAAGAAATTATTGCTACTTATAAACAAAACCTTAAAAGCTCTATTACATTTTTTTTCAAGTAATAATTTAATTTTTAAATACATTAAAGATTTTGTTTGCTTATTTTCATATTGATTAACTCCGGAAATTTCTTGCACATTTATCAGAAAATTATGAATCGAAAATTTTGTATGTCGATATATTTTTATATTGATTAGAAATTAAACGTTCCCGAAATTAATGGAATTAAAGAGAATAAACGTGAATAAATGGATTTTAAGGACCCTGGCATTAATATGAAATGGGCATGAACAATGGGCCAATTGAAAGTCAAATATGATAACGGGGGATTACTAACACTGTTTCGGGGCACAAATTTCGCAGAGCCAAGATTGACCGGTCGTAGCGACGTCTTTCCTAAATGGAAATTGGAAGTTGCTCTGTCTTGTAAATACTAAAGGTGGAGTAGTACAACTTAGTCTAACTCCACCATATTCTTTGGAGTAGTTTGCTGGTGTTGTACATATTTTTGTCTGTTACATTTTAACGCTTTATGCTCGTGGATGACCGGTTTTGATATTTTTAAAATCTCTGCTAATTCACGTGTCACGTAGTGCGGGTTTTTCTCGATCAATGTCTTGATTTCATCATTATTACTAGAAGACCTTTAGTGCTGAAATCATAAGCTCCAAAACACTTTAGTACGTTACCTTCAAGTAAATCAACTTCTTCATAATCAGAATATTTCTTAGTTATTATTGCTTTAGTAGCATTTCTAGTAATTGCAATCTATACAGCTTTCACAAAACTAAAAACATTACATCCAGAATTTATAAGGTTTTTCTATTCATAATCTATTCAATATTCATTATTTATTTAGTATTTAATTCATCCTATTAACTTAGTTTTGGAAACTGGTCTAATGAATACTGCTGGTGAAGTGGTTTTCAATATTTGGAACAATATGTACATTCAAATTGTCCTAAAAAATCAGAAAAACTCCAATATAAAATAGTAACACTAAGAAAAGAAAATTGAAAAAAAAAAACTTTTGAAAAAGTTAATTAGATGTAGAATGAATATAAATGTAAAAAATCTCAGTTTTTCCGCCCAAAATATATTATAAAGTAATTGATTCATATTGTTGTAACACAAATCTCAATTAGTAACATTACAAACAGGTATTGAATTATTGAAATTGGTTATTAACTATATATTTATATACTTCTAAATATAAATTAATTCTATACAATGGAACCTCGCTTAACGAGAAAAAAATCCCAGTAAAAACTCGAATATTGAAATAATTGTTTAGTGAAACAATTTTCCCCATATAATTAATAAGTATAAGTTGGTCTCGCTTTTTAATGGTTCTGCTTTCGAAATCTATGGTCATTTTTATGTCCGAACACAAGTTTGGAAATTTGTGGGATCACAAACAGCACTAAGATTTAACTAGAAGGACTACTAAGACCAGGAACTATTTGCCAATTCACATACTAAATAGCATCCATAGTTGATTTATATATCATAATAATAGTTGGACACAACACATATTTGTTGTACCACTCACTCGATATGCGAAACGTTAACGAGAGTAATTTTTCTTAAATTTAATCGTTTCCCAAGGTTCCACTGTATATTGTTTCATTGTGACAATAATGCAGCGGTTTCCAAACTTTATGCTACTACGCCTCCCCAAAAAAAAAAAATTTCCGCGCCTCCCCGAAATGTTTTTTCCGCGCTTCCCTTACCTTTTATTGTTTTAATAGATTAAATAATATAGACACGTTTTATTTATTTGAAAATATTATTGTATAAAAATTAATTTATTAAAAATTTTTGGCGCCTCCCCTGGCAAGAGTCCGCGCCTCCCAGTTTGGAAACCGCTGCAATAATGACAATAATCATTTTCTACCAAGAACATTAATGTCGTCGAGGAAAGCCGTCTATATGCAGATGCACAAATAAATGAAAGTAAAGATTATGTTCAATATTAAAATAACAATTTTATTTATATTAATAACATATAATAAATAATTGGTAAATGGATAACCAATCATCTGTTTCCAGTATTCTCAACCTTTGCAGGTCCGTCTTGCATTTCATCAAATTTGTTTCATAGTCTTCGAAACATAAGCATTATTTTTATTTATTAGACATGATGGTGTTAATTGTCAGGACTTCATAGTTTCTATGGAGGAAATCAGCTCAAACTTAATGGAAGAGTTCTTGTATGATTTCCATACAATATTTTATGTTGGCAAAAATAAATCAATATTACAATTCAACATCGTTTTTTGCGATTCCTTTCAACAAGTGAAGGTCCAACTTGCATTTTATCAAATGTAATTGATATATTTGGGATTGTTTAAGATGAGCTCTAATATTGATATTTTTGAAGTATTTGATGCCATTCTTCAGATTCCTTACAGTTTTATAAAAGCTACGTAGATCCTTCTTCAGTTCATCTGATATCGCAGTCTCCTCTACATCGACCAAACTCAATTTCTTTTTATTCAACACATCCTTCAACGAATTTCTCAGCAAATTCTGTACCTCCTGACTCGATGATTTATGTTTAAAGATTTTTTCTATGATTTCATTATCCCGCACCTCAGTTAATCTCATAAATGTATCACTTTTTCCTTCCAAATATTCATTAGCTTCGTTTATATAAGTTAAACGTTTCGATTTAATGTTCATTTTTCCTTTCAAAAAATCATTTATACGTTCTAAATTTGGTTCAAACTTGAGGTATTGTAATTCATTTTCATAAAGAACACTCATTAAATCATGTAATGTATCATACTTCTTCATGATCAGATTCATTTCTTTCGGATCATTATGTTGTTTAATTATACTTTCGATTGATTTGTCTATCATCGACATCAATTTTTGTACATCTTTTCTTAATTTTGGCAACCTATTTGCTAAACCGTTTCTAGCTTTAGAATGGAGACCGATAAACGTCATTGTATTTTTGCAACTACATTTAAAAGAAATATACTGGTCAATTACATAAATAATATCTTGCAGATGCTTCTGCAAATCTTTCAAACGGCAAACGATGTTATTCTCTCCATATCTGTGCGCTTCATCGCATTTGTCTAACAACTATAAAAAAATATTAATAATTAAATAACTTGTAACAATAACAAATAATTAGATTACTTACGATTAACGCCGTTTCTATGTTGAAACTCTCTTCACCTGGAGGTTTCAAATCTAGTGGTAGCAGGCTGCAGTTGACTATGCCTGCATATAGGTAGAATATACTAGTAACAAGTTTAGATAACATATTGTAAAATTAATAGAAAACATGCGATGTGTCTGTAAAGAACTGTGATGTTTCCAAAAGTAAGTCTCTTTTGAATTTGGTAAAGGCTGTGAGCATCTAATATATACCTTTTTCCATTTACCCCCACTATGCAGATTTTTCATGAGAATTATTTTATTGCACCAAGAAGGGTAGATGCTAGCAGGTAGATGCTAAATTTATAACTAACAACGATTTCTAAATAAAAATATGTTTTTACAATAAATACATTTCAATAATAATACTCTTCCTATTATTGTTTAAAAAAATATTGTATATTTAGACTTCTTTTTTTATTATTAATGTAATTTTTTTAAATTTATATTTTTATTTATTTTATTTATATTTTATTTATATTTATTTGTAAATTAAATTTGCGTTTAAAAAGAATCCGCATTAATACAGTTCTAATTTACGTGTAAAAAAAACCGCGTAAATTAATTTCAAGCAAAATTTGTTTGCTAGAACATTTCATCAGAATTGCATTCGACATTTTTGTACTCGATGAATATTTGCAGATTTTTTCCAACATTCTCCTAAACGGTTTTTTTAAATTTTTTTTTGTTCTTCCCATGATTGATGAATTGTTCGAAAAAGTAATAGATCAAATAACTTACGACAATTGAAAGATTTTGCTATGATCAACTACATTTCACTTAATAATAGAGCGATTATTTAGAAAAAATAATATTTACAATATTCCCGATACGCCATCTATCATTGATCAACGAAATATACGAGACTCAACAAAAATATTATACAATTAATTTAAATTAAAATTATTCAATTAATTTAAATTTTTTTTACAAAAATGTTAATACGTCATTTTCCATTCATTCTTTGCAATTCTTTTTGTTATATTTATTGTTATTACTTGGTTCGGGGAAAAAAAATGAAATTTGAGGAAATATAATCTTTAGTTCAACAATAATAAAATAGAAACTGCTGCCATTGACCATAAGTTTTTCTAACAGGTACTCAATATTAAGATAATTGTAAAAACCTATTATCAGTAATTTTTGTTTATTATTACCATAACCGAACTAATAGCCGAATGGTTAAGTCGCCATACCTACGATCGAACCGGCGCAGGTTCAAATCCTGATCAAGCCAGGCCCTTTGTGAACCCTCTCGGTGCTTGCATTAATAGGGCCATCGTTCGTCACAGATAGACAGTCAAATAAATTAGGTTCAGTATATGGACCTTCAGCCAAGTCAAGTCGATGGACAATGACAGAGTTAAGGATAGTAGCAGATTCACAGTGAAAGAAAATAGTTGAATCGCAGAAATCAATATACAACTGAAGTTAGCTACAAGACGACAGCCAACCAACAAATTAAAAATCAAATCATCAGAATGGTAACTATCCACCGGAAAATATTATCCATTTAAAAACGACCACGATCTTAAATTTACTCAATGTTCACATTGATGAACAGATTGTGAATACAATTATACGACATAGAAAAATTATTACCAACTACCGTGGAACCTCGCTTAACGAACAAAATGAATTGTTAGAAAAATGACTGGATTAACGAGCGACGTTTTGCAGAACGAATGACGATGAGAAGTCCCGCCTGCGCCTCCTACATCATTTATAAAACTTGTGCACACAAATTATGCGCATTTTATAATATGTTTCACTATACGAGTAAAAATCAGGAAATGTTGGAACAGACTAAACTCAATATTTGCTTAAATACAAAAGAAATAATTATTATATAGCTCAATATAAAATATTAAACAATTTTATTTTTTCATAAGCACTCAAAAAAAAAACTTATAAATTTTATTTTATTTATATAACATAATTAATATTTTATAATTTGTAAAGATCACGCATCCAAATTGTATATACAATTTACCTTTTCTTTATTTCGTCGTTACTTTCAGAAGAAAATTAATGAAAAACACAATTAGTTGTTTCAATTCGTAATTTTATTATGTTTGTTTTTCCCTCTGATGTTTGTTTTTTTCTTGATGCAATATTTCAGATCCTATTCTTGTATGAAAAAAATATCAATATTTGATCCTTGCTTGTTGCTTGTTCTATTATTGGTTTGTTGTTTTTTTTCTTGAAATATTTGAAAAAGCACGAATCAATTAGATTTAATGTTTTCATAGTTCATTGATTTACCTAACTTAAATCATAACAAAATTAATTTCGCTTTCTAATTTAACTTTCAATATTGTATAACATTAAATATTGCAAAAAAATATGTACAAAATTGTTTTGAAGACTGATGACAATTGTTAAATATATAAAATCAAAAAAAAAAACATAAGAAAATATGAATTTACGCGTGGATTGCTTTAAAAATCAAAACGTAATTTCATTATTCCAAATACGCCATCTATTGTTAATCAATAAAATTAATATGACATAAATATATATTTCAATGAAAACTTACAAATCTTTGCATTTTCTGATTAAATCTTCAAACAGTAAATAACTAATTAAGGCTATCTTTTAAATAAATACGCACTGTTTGAAACCGGACTAATCGAGAATTTTAAAACTGCCTAAGAATAAACAGCACAATGAGAGCTTTAACTGTTTATTATTTATTATTCTCAATTAAAATTTTAGTTGATTTTGAAATTTTCAAACCGTACTATAGTGAAGCCGCATTATGCGAGGTATTTCTGCAATTAAAAAGTATTTGATTTACATTTAATTTTATTGCACTAGATATTTAATGTTATGTTCAAATATATTCTCATAAATAATAAATCAATTTCGTTTTCATTAAATTTCCATCATCAAAGTGTGTTTTATATTTTATTATAAGAAAATGTTTGAAATGAAACAAGAATTTCATTTAGTCGATGAACGGTCAGGACGTGCACAAATCAAAGCGCACTTCTAAAGCCTTTTCGTCTCAATTTCCACAACATTTCTGAAAGAAAATTAAGATCAATGAAAACCACTCATCTCACTTCACATTGACCTAAAAATACAATCTCTTAGTTTTGTCTCAATAATTCCTGCTTCTACAATGTAATTTTCATTTATAAATTTGTCTTACATTTGTCAACATTTATGAACGAAAAGTAAGATCAATGAACGCAACTCATCTTACTTCACATTGACCTAAAAATATAATCTCTTAGTTATGTCTCAATAATTCCTGCTTTTAAACTATAATTTTCATTTACAAATTTGTCATATTCAATATTCATTTTTTTATACATAGAAAAATTTATAATTTTTTCAAACATTTCTTCAATTATTAGGAATTATAAGGAAATATGTTGTATTTTCATTAAAAAAAAATTGTCTTATTCAATATTATAACATAGAAAAATTTATAAAGTTTTTCAAATATTTCTTCAATTAGTTATATAATTATAAGGAAATATGCGTAAATGAATGAATTTGATGAATGAAATCTCTTAGTTATGTCTTAATAATTCCTGGTTTTACACAGGAATTTTCATGTAAAAATGTGTTTTTTTCCTTTTTTTTATTACATAGAAAAATTTATAAATTTTTCAAATATTTCTTCAATTATTGATATAATTATAATGAAATATGAAGCAAATTAATAAATTTTAATAAACAGTATCTTATAAAATACAATCTCTTATTTATGTGTTAGTAATTAATGCTTTTACACTAGAATTTTCATTAAAAAAATTGTCTTATTCAATATTAATTTTTTTAATACATAGAAAAATTTATAAAGTTTTTCAAATATTTCTTCAATTATTGATATATTTATAAGGAAATATGGGCTAAATTAATGAATTTTAATGAACAGCGTGTAATTACTAGTAAAGAAGACATTTAGCATCTTTTCTAAGTTAATTAGAAGGAAGTATTAATTAAGAAAAAAACATCCAAATTGAATTGAAACATCTTTTGCTCTTTCCTATATAATTCCTAATTATACCTATTTATGATAACTACAGCTAAATGATCCGATCATCATGTTTTTTTCTTTTGTTTGTTTTTCTTTTTCTTTACCTCCATATATTTCTTTCACAAAGCGTTTTACGCTTCTTTTGTTTTCCGTGCGCTTCTTTTTTTCTTCTGTGTGTGTGTTTGTTTCCTTTCTTCTTCCCCGCTTTATGTCAATATATAATGGTTCACTTAACTCTTAAGTACTTGGTTAGTTTCGTCCTCATCCTCCTCGTTGCTCCATTTTTTTCGTCTTCTCCTAGGGATTTTCTTCGTACCAGGAAGAAGAGATAAATCTCTTTGGGGGGAGGCTAAACTAAGCATGAAAAAACATCACGAAAGCTCGCATTCAACAAATCGCTTTTCCATTTGAGATGCGTTTTCATCCCTACAAACCAAATAAATTTATTTGAATTTGAAGAGCACACGCTGATTGCACTTTTACAAACTCATTTATTGTCTTTTTGATCAATTATCAAACAAAATTATAGATTTTTTTCAAAACTTCATTAGTTTAATTATCTTCTATCGTTCTATGTTGAAATCTAGATTAAAAAACTTTTTGATGTATTTTTTTTTCATTCTGATCAATAATAAAAAAAATTCTAAACTAATCTAACTAATTTTTCTGTCTAAATTATCAATTATGAGGTACAATTAAAGAAATAATTATTACTAATATTCAAGATTACAAAAATGTTAAGTTACATTTTTTTAATTACAAACTTGCATTAAAAATTTCATTAATCGTTTTTTTAATGATGAAATTAATAATTAACTTTTTGTTTTAAAAAATATCAAAATCAGAAAAAAATAAGGATTTTTCTAAATTGTAGCTTTAAATACTCATTAATCGCTTTTTTATGATGAAATTAGTAATTATCTAACAAAAATTTAAGATTTTTATTGTAAAATTATTAATATAAATAATCTTGAAAATTTATGAGTATTTCCAAATGTAATTACACTTTATAATGTGTAATTACACATTAATCACTTAAGAAAGTGTACTTTATTATAGTGCAATGGACTTTGTTAATATTGCATTTTATTGTCGGCAATTTCGTTCATCCAGACTGAATCGAAGAAGAACAATGTTTCTCAGTGGATTACAATCTTCGTTACAAGTTTATTATCCACAAGGAACGTTACGACACTCGAGATCCACCTGCTATCTAATCCCATCAAACTATACAATATGAGCAGTACCTCGCATAGTGCGACTTCGATCAGTGCCGATTCACTATGAAAATT